TGTAGAAAAAATGTTATAAAAAAATTCTATATTATTAAGTTAGGAGAAGGAAAATGGAGCTAAAATGTCAAAGTAATAAAAAGAGTACATTAGTTGGCTAAGTAATATTGTTTTTTCTATTATATTTGAATTGACATCTAACTTATAATCTGAATTTAAAGAAAACATAGTACACATGGTCCATAGGAAGCAAGATGCATTCCGAGAAATTAATCCTCATTTCTACTTTCATGACTTGAATTGTTACTCTAGAATGGTAAGTGACTATAGAAATAAAATATATGTCTAGGATACTAAGGTCAAGAATGTGTGGTAGAATCTAAAGGCTACATGTATTAAGTTTATTTATTTGATTGATTAGTATTAAGTTCATGATAAAAATATTGAGGTCACTTGTACTTGCCATCAAATTGGTACTAACTGATCAACACTAGGGTGATCACATGGCAGTAATATTCTCCAGGGATTAGGGGGTTGGGGGGGGTAAACCCACAACTAAAGGACACAGGGAGCATTGTAGGGGGGAAGGGCATGCTTTTAACCCTCGCTTGGGTGAGGCAAAGACATAAAGTGTAACCATAATGTTTGTACCCTCGCAATACCCTGGAATAAAAAGTTAAAAAAAAAAAGATGCTTTATAAATGACAAATGAAAAGAAAAATATTGAGGTCAAATTAGGAAGTAGGATAGTTTATGATGAAGAGTTACAAAATATCTGGTCAAAAGTCTGGAACTAAGATAGAGTTAGAGATCATGGTCAGAATATAATCAGACTTCTAATGTATCATTTCTTTCTAAACTTGAATTATGTTTGCTTCAGAAGTCAAAAGTGGGCATACGTAGATTGCACTGCATTACAATGTGCTGCCATGCCAATGAATGGAGAAATGTGGGTGCCACTCTCAATGCTTCTGTGTAGAGAAATTTCAACTCTTCCTTTCTTATATCTCATAGAACACATGACACTTGATCATTTCACTTTTGTGAAGATGCCACTTTCACTCTATATAATAAAACAAGTTAAGTTTTATGGTTTTTTTTTTTTAGATAACATAAAATGAAATTGAAGTTTTGATATGTTCTCTTACCACAAACAATTGTCTCAGATACTCCTTGGGGTGTGTTACTTTTCATTAGAAAAGGGAAATTATTTATATATGTTACATCTTTTGTGGAATTATATACATGTAT